ATCAAAAACGCCTTGTATCAGTCCAAATCATTTGGTTCTCTATAGATCTTACAGATATTCTCCAACACCTTGATTATCAATTGAACAGCTTAAGATTGATTAACGATTAAAATCGAATTACTACTCCCCCCCCCCCCTGTAACCGTTGACAATCAAATGAAAATCTCTGAATTAGATTTTTATCGATTGAGATTTTAATCGATTAAAAAGGTTAAAACCGGATTTCAATCGTGATAATCAAGAATAATTGTTGAAATAGATTATTTTTTCAACCAATTTTAATCGGAATTTATGAAAAAAGTGAGAAGTTAGCCAACAAATTGAGATTTTCACACTGATAACCAAAAACAATCGGAATTTTCATACAAACATTTTTCACTGGGGTGTCGTTACATGTCACAATATTTGGGCGAAATTCTGGCAAAATGAGGATATCAGGTACACGAAAAACAAATACGATTTTCGGACATTCTCACATTTATATTGTGCTTTAAGAGAAGAGTCAAACACACCGTTTTGTGGAGCGAAACGAGCCCTATTTGTTACTGTATAGCCTGTTTACCATAGAAATAGGGTAGGTAAGAAAAAAAGTTGAAATACAATGATGACCCAATTTCGTCAGTTTTTTGGCATCAAATGCAGTGCGATCAGTAGATTATCTCTGCACGATTCACAACACATTTTCAGACGCTACTGTTTTGAGCATTCGAGTATGGCATGAGATAGGGGTGTAGCGACCAGCTGCAGGGGTGTGGGGTTTGTTACACTCATCCTCCACCCATTTTTGAAACCTCAAGAGCATACATCCCGTTGTCTGTTGACTCCCTTTCTGTTTTGGAGGCTTAGCCACGTCCCTGATATGAAGTGGCCTATCATTCTGTAGCAGTGTATTCAAAATCGGAAATATACCATATTCTTTAATTTTTCGATTGTTTTGTGGAACCTCTCTAACATAAGTGACCTCATTCAAATAGGATCTCAACTTTGATCGCACATGATTTCGTGTACTATTGTTTGCTTTCATGATATGTGCCTTTGCTAGTAGCAATTTTGCTAAGTCCAGAATGAACTATCGATGATAAATGATTGTCGAATGGAAATTCACTCAATAGACGATGATAGTAATTTTTGGCTCGATCGAATCGATCTATTTGATATAGGATTTTGTCGAATGTGACAATGTCCAGTTTCCCATCGTCGTTTTTAACTTTCTTCATCTGTTGCAGGAACATTTTCCAATTGTGTTCATTGACAGTCGCTAATGTCATACAAATTATCCATAGCCTGTTATCAGCACAATAAACATTGCCAATATGAAATATGGAACCAATCATGAATAGGACTTCTCTTTCAGACGGATAGAAGGAGTATGAACTGATGTCAACAAACGGTCTACTAGGTATTGTCTGTGGATCAACTGGGATTTCAAATAGAATTTTTTTCGAATGATCTGGTGAATGTTTCACGAAGGATAAAGCAACGTCATGGCTTGCACTTGTAGAAAGAAATGTATTGATAGAAATCAATTTACCGGTTGATGCTTGAAGAAGATCAAATTCATCATTCGATTTTCATCCGTCCCAATAGACTTGTATGGGAACGTGACATTGACTATCTTTCAATTGTCGATCGATGTCACAAATCCAAAAACGAAGGAGGAATAGTAAACGAATACTTTGCTGATGTACAGCTGTCATCAACATCCTATAGACGAATGATTGTCGTGTATACCACCAAAGAGCTTGTTCCGGTGAGTAGGTTTCCTGAAACTCTTTAATCTTGACTAGTTGAGCTGAATTATTTTTATGTTCAGCCTTTTCAAATGCAATACATTCGTCGACTTCTGTTGGACTAGGTTCCATTCGAATGAAGCATTCGATGAAAGCAATTGGACTATCGAACGGATCGTCATTGATGATCGAAATCAATGGAAACGATAAATCACTTTTGATAGGTTTCGGTTCCACTATCAATACTTGACTCTTTTTAGCAGATTCAATATGACCAATAAGTTCATCAAAACAAGTAACAACAACCTGAATCTACAAACATATTATCAAAAACTTTTCCAGGAATGAAAACAATACCGAGTAAACAACACATAAAAACACTGCTTCACCTTACTAGATAGATTTTTCCATTCTTCATTCTGATTCTTATCAACAGAATAGATATAGATTGATGCTATTTGTTGCAGTTGATAAATATGAGGCACTAATTCTTGTCCCAATTCTTCGCTAACAATAAGCATCAGTTATTTGTCAGACGACACTGATCGAATATGATTTTCACATTGTTCTCGATCTTTAAATATCATTACATGTTTCTTAATAGCTCGTAGTCGTTGTTGAGTATGTCGATGATTCTCGTTCATGTTCACTAGGGCATCGACCCAAATAATAGAACATGTTGCCATGTAATAAAACGTGATACAAATCAGTAACTTTCTAGTACTTTTACAATCGAATGTGGTGTACAGTCAATGTAATAATAAACGTTGTCTACTGCATGGCTTCTTTCTGTACGTTAACGACGCTGTCGATGATTGCTGTACGTTTCATCGTTTTTTGTTTCTTCAACAAACAGCTCCAGTCATAGAGAGAACATGTTAAACGCTGTCTATTGAGAGTGCGAGTGTGTGGATGTCATCTTCTCCAGTTTGAGGTGAAGATGAAGGAAAGAACCGCACCTATATCCACACCATATGTGTATTTGATATTGATTCACATTTCTCCCCAAGTTTTATATCACTGGATGATGTTTGATCTGTAAACTTTACCAATATCTATTCTTTCAAAGCTTATAATAAAATAAAACTTTTATCATGATAGCATGAAAGCAACTAAATAGAAAATTCATATAATTAAGATCTTCATATACTAATATGGATTGTTCTGAAACTCGAATTATTTGACTTTAATTAAAAATTGAACGTGTAATGGCAGAATTACTTTTTAGAATTTTCATAGAAAACAAAAATATACTGAAAACTTGATGGATGATTTTTTTTTCTGATTTTTATAACTTTCTCTGTAGCAGAAAATTTTCACTTACATAAAGATCAATAAATAGTTTTCTGCAAGTTTAGATAAACTGTACAATTTATTTGTTCTATCACATTAAATAATCCTTTAAATAAGAAATAATCTAGAATCAGAATCATCATCATACGAAATTTCTGTTTTCAATAATATATGATGATTTGTATTACAAACATTTTCTTCTTGTTAAACTCTACCGTAATCCAACGTACAAAATAAGCAAACAAGTAATTGTGATGATTTTTGATAGAAGAAGTTCTTGTACAGATGGAATACCACTTTATTAGAGTTCCTCTTATTATCAATTGTATCGTTTACATTCCGAACATATGCTTATTATATTTAAGTATATATCCTCAGAGTACAGCATATGTTCTGTCGGTTCATCAAAAAATTTTGTTTTATTTGTTTTTCTTTAGAGAAAGTAATCTGTCTTTCTGCACTAAATGATTATCGAAAAATGTGTCTTTAGTAAAGTTATTTTACACATTTTCCGATAGCTCCGATTGGGGTGAAATTTTCAGAGATAACTCCTCTCAATGTGGCACGCCTATTATTTATGTACAAATATTTCCGAATCGAGATATAGATTTTTTAAAAAACCTTCGTTTGCTCGGAGTTTCATAGCTTTCTAGGATTCGTTCAGCTCAGAAGCACTTGCCGATAAAACTACCGCAGATTCAGAATCGGTGGGAGAAACTCCATCGAATATTCTGTAGTTTCTCAGCTCTCCAAAATAAAAATTTTTAAATACAAATTCAGAGATTTTCAATGAAAAACAAATTCTTTAAATTTCATTTTTTTTTTATCAGGTATTGTTTTCTAAGTAGTAGAAACGAATACTTTTATGGAAAAAACTGCGATTTTCACATAAAGTAAGTCATGTACATGTGCTTGATTTAAATTGTCCACTGTGTTGCGAGTGAAAAACATAATTTTAATGCTAGTGTAAAATAGCTCGAGAATGCTACATGAAATCAACATCGATGATGCTTATTTGACCAGCAATGATATTTCGATTGCAGCAGCTAATTTACAAAAAGCCAATTATAAACAAGTACTTGATTTATACATGCTACAAAGTTTTGATAGTTACCAGATGATCTTCGCATCTTCTATTTGACCTTGCATATATGAAAACTATTATTGAAAACATAAAAACTATCAGAATTGCTACTAATTCGAAATGTAGTGTCAACAATTTACAGAATAGATTTCGTATATGAGAAGAAAAATAATTGATAATAATTCTCACTATATTATTAACACGAAGGCAGTATCAATTATTATGCTCTCAGACCAACACATCCGAGTTTTATCTAAATTAAACAAGATATTCAATGTATCTCAACTCAATTTGAAAAAGACCATGTTTAATTTTTATTTAACACTAAGACAAATTATGAAGATGTGTTATATTGTGTTTTCGATTAAAATCCATTATTATGCAGAGCTGATAATCAAACAAAATATTATTCATCTACAATTCTATTTTGTAATATATTATTAAATGTTAACGCGAGTCGTACTGGCAGGAAGAAAAAATTGAAAGTTTTCAAATTATTCTTCCTTTCTATAGTATATCATTTAGTGATTTTATTATTGATAAATAATTCTCACTGTGACTACAACGAATAGATCTCTATCTTGTTTATTGCTATAGGTGAACTTTTAACCAATGAGAAATTGTTTTAATAAATTACAATATAATTAATTTTATTTGAATAAAAATTTGCACGAAATTTATATTTAATATCAATAAAGTCATGTAAAAACATTAAAATGTTTAAAAAAAATATAATTTCTTTGAATCCTTCTCAATTTCAACAATCCATAAAATGCTATAATGTCGGACCAATGAAATTTTTGGAAAAATTCTGTGCTACGACCCTATTCAAAATTACGAAATCGGTGCTTTTCGAGAAAAAACATATAACAGATTCATCATATTGAAAAAAAATGAGGTAGAAAATTAAGATAAAAATTCATACGATAAATTTGATTCATTTTTATTTTTACTTACATTAGTTCGCTCCGAGTACAAAAGCGGCTCGCTTCATCAATCTTACGTTGTGGTAATAAGAAAATCTGGCTTGATCCAAATGAAGCCAATGAAATTGCAAATGCCAACACTCGTAAGTTCTTTTTTTCACAAAATTCTTCCTTTATGACCCTTCAACAATCATCGATCTTTGATGTAAAAACTTTTGTTTTATTACTCATATAACATTGATCGATACACGGGAAGGGAAAATTATAAATTTTTCAGTTTTATTTGTCTTATTCGTTTGTTGATTTTCATTTATTTAATCGACAATAAACAAATAAATTGAACAAGAATTATTATTGACTAATACTAATAATTTTATTTTTTTTCTCATTATTTAGGCCAAAGTGTACGTAAATTAATTAAAGATGGTTTAATTATCAAAAAACCAGTGGCAGTACATTCACGTTTTCGTACACGTAAAAATAATGAAGCTCGTCGTAAAGGTCGACATATGGGTCATGGTAAACGAAAAGGTACTGCCAATGCACGTATGCCAACTAAGGTTAGTTAAACGTTCGTTTGTTTTCACTTCAATCTATTACTTATTTTAAATTCAGATCCTTTGGATTCGTCGTATGCGTGTTTTACGTCGTTTATTGAAAAAATATCGTGCAGCTAAAAAAATTGATCGTCATTTGTAAGTTATTTATTGCATAGAATAAATAAATCAATGAAATTAGTTTTTTTTTTATTTTAGATATCATGAACTTTATTTGAAATGCAAGGGTAATGTTTTTAAAAATAAACGTGTATTAATGGAATTTATTCATAAGAAGAAAGCTGAAGTACAACGTACGAAAATGCTTTCTGATCAAGCTGTTGCTCGTCGTGAACGTACAAAAGAAAAACGTACTCGACGTGAACAACGTATTCTTCAAAAACGTACTGAACTTTTGGGTAAACAACAAGAAGATGACGATACAAATGTAGCTCTTCAACAAGTTATTCAACAACAAGCTCAAACACCTGTTGTAGCACCAGCATCACAATCACAACAACAACAACAACAACAAGCACCATCAAAAACAGGTGCCAAACAAGAAAAGAAACAACAACAACAGCAACAGCAAACCCAAGTACAACCTCAAAAAACACAACCAAAAAAGAAATAAAATATTTTATTTAAAAAAAAAAGACGAGTATTGGACATAAACAACATTCATTGTGTCTTTTATTTTGTTTTTTTTCATCGTTAACGATGATTTTTTTTCTTTGCTTTGCCGTTTTTCTCCATATCATCAATAAATAAAAACAAGCAGCCACATACATAAAATAAGAAATAAAAACATATAATTTTATCTTTATAAAATGTTGATGAACTTTCAAATGTTCGTTTTACAAGTAATACTCAATATAATATTACAAAATAGTGCAAGTTAAGGAATTGAACAATTCTGTAGGTTTTTCAGTTGTAATTTATTTTTGAGTGTGATCTATTTATTATAATGTAATAAAAAGAAAATTCTATTAAAAATATATACATAAAATTAATAAAGAGTTGAATTGTGATCATGTCCTTATTATTAATAATCATCATACAAACTCATAAGCACTAGACATGTCTTCATGATATGATACTATCAGTCAAAAAGTGAATACGTACTACAACGATTCCATATCACAGATATACTTTTGGCTCTATAAATTTTATAGTTGTCATTTGAATAAGTTTAAGTAAAAAAAAAAACAAGTAAAACAAAAATCATGTGTTACTATATAGAGGAAAGACTTCATTAGGAAGTCTCTCCTGCGTTCCAGCAAAAGAGCTTGCGTTATTATCGATTATTATTTTTACTATAAACATTTTATTAAATGTTGTTTTATCGAAAATGCGTTTGTTTTTATTTTCTTATTGTGTAATGAGTCACCTAGTCGTCATGCCAATCGATATTTAATTCCATTGCACCGAAGATCAAGTTCTTCTAATCTCTTTACTAATAACAAAGGTAAATAAGAGATAATTCAAGAGAAAATTTGTCTCATTTTATTAATTTGTATAGTATCAATTAGCTATTGTGTACCTTTCGAACTAATCTCATTCGATTGAAGATGGCGAATCAGAAGTGCCTATGTAATATAACAAGAATGAATATGAGACTGATCAATAGAAGACTTCATTCACTATAATAATTATTCTTGCATCAATAAGATATTGTATACCTTCAGAACCAATATTACTGTTATCAAGGAAAAGCTTGGCTAAATATCTATGTTATTGAATGCCAAGAATGGGTGGGATACGAATAAATAGAGAATTAATCTTATTGTAATTTATGAGCTAAATATTGTGCTTTCTGGATAGCGATTCTGTTTTTTTTTGTAAGACTTAGCATCTTGAGTGTCTGTGAAGAATGAATGATACAGTTAAATACCAAAAAAAAAATTTGGTAGAAAAGTTATCTTACTCTATTCGTTTGTAATACATTTGCTAGATATTGTGCTTCTTCAGAATTAATTTTTATTCCTTGTTTATTGAAACTACTACGTTCATGATTCAGTGTCTGTGTTAAATGATTAAACAGGAACATGACATAGATGAATAGAACGTAGACTTTACACTTTTATTATTTAATACATTTATTAAACATTTTACATCATCAGAACTGATTTTACTTCTTCCAAGATTCACCATGAGAAGTATCTATGTGTCTTAATTATAGATAGTCATTCGAACTTTTATTTGCTACATTATCCATTCGAAAAAGTTCAATATGATGATAAATGTCTAAGTGAAAATGTTAAATAAATATCATAGGTATTGCTTAAGTTTAATTTTCATATCGTAATTTCAATAATAATTATGCAGAAGGTTAGCACATGTTTGCTGATAAATAGTCAATTAAAATATAATAAAGATTAGAATATATTCTTTCAAACACCATCGAATTCGATACAAAAAGTCAACATGAATGATTTTACTGTACTAATCTATATGAAATGAAAATTTTTCTAGAGTTAAGTTTTTGAGTGTGATTTCTCTTAAGAATTGTTAATTGTCTTCATTTCCATTAAGGAAAATCATGAGCTACTATGAGATCTTTTCTTATGCAGTAATATAGCGAATTTTAGTAATTGATGATAATACATTATACGAATTAATTTTAAACAAAAAGAAATGAGTAGTGTCTGATGAAATAGAAGATAATTTGAATAATAATAGGAATTGAAAATTTAAATGAAGATGAAATTTACTTGCTATCTAAAATAGTTATCAACGATTGTATTCCATTATAAGCAAATATTGTGAAGTGAAAAAAAATCTGTTGATTCATTGAAAGTGTTAACAATACAATAGACAAGTTCAACTGTTAATTTAATGATGAATAAAGACTTTTTTTGTTAGACATTGATTTTATTTTTTATGATACTAAGCCTCTATAAACAACGTGCAATAAAATGTTCTTATAATTGTGTAATAACATGTTTGTCCAACGAATTACGCAAGTCTAACGATGGTAATGATGAAATTTAGTTAAAATGAAACGTCACACATTTTTTTACTTGAATTTTTCTGATCTATCAGCAATCAATTCATTAGTTGTATATAATCGATAGATCAAGATTCCGTAAATTATTACTAAAGTCCTAGATCGAAAAATTTCACTCTTCATTCACATACAACTATAACCATAAGATATGTTTGCATTTTCATGTGATCATGACATGTGTTGCTGATTTCATTTTTGATGCTATCAAATTCTCTCAATTCCAATTACAACAAGTAAGATAAGAATCATCATTAAGAAACGCAAATATTGTCTTATCTCGTCAGTCGTGCATACATTTCATACAGAGAACTCTCAAACTATATAAAGAAAAGGAATATTCTTATTCACGTCATTCAACGATGAAGTCAATTAATATTGTATCATTATTTCTTGTTATTTGTGTTTTCTGTACTGAAGGTTTACTTTTACCTAAAAAAGATGGTACATCTGCACAGGCTAAAGCACCTAAGAAAGGTAATTTATAATTCTACGTAATTCATTCATTCATCGTATATCATTTATTTATTTAGAAAAATGTATGATTGTTAAAGGTAAAGGAAAAAATCTTGTCGGTGATATTATTCATATACACAAAGATTTTGCTCCAACATTAAAAACTATCGATAATATTGCTAAACAATGCAATATTAAATTAGCTATTAAAGGTTCCTATGAATCAGTAGTAGATCCATCAAAAACATTAAAATTTACTGCAGCTAATGCTGGTAGACAACTTAAATTTATTATTATGGATAAAACTGGAAAAAAATTAGTTTGTAATCAAATTTGTCTTGCTAGTAAGATTAATTATGACTTGAAAAAGAATATATTATACTTATATGTTCTATATTTGTAGAAGAAGGTGAACAAGTTCCGGAAGTCAAATGTCTTGTTATTGGTTTACGTAAACAAAATTTAATTTATGCACCTGGTGGTGCTGCAGGTATTGTTAATGATGGATCTGATGCAAAAGTTGGTTTTACCGATACTGCTCGAAGTATTCAAGTAGCATGTAAAGGTGTCAAACTTTAATATAAATGACTTATTAAAAATAACAAATAATTCTTCTTTAAACTTTTTCTGTATTAGATTAAAACAAATAAAAGATAAATTTTATAATTGAAATAAATATTCAATACGAAAAAGTTCTTCTTTTTAATTCATTAAACTGAATTTCATATGTTTATAATGTATCAAGATAAATGTTGAGATTTTATTTGTTTTATTAGATTACTTTAATAAGAGCAAAGCATTTAAACGAAAACTATCGTTATTTTTGCTTGTGTTGAATCTGCGATCGTACTATAAAAGTATTTATTTATCGACTATCCCCATATAGACACAAATTGAATAACCTCGAAGTGATTTATGATTCATCCTTCATTATCACTAATCATCATTTTGAAAATGAATTCTTAGATAATTTTCATATTTACTCTTAAAAGCCGAATGTTCCTTTCATGTACAATTGCAATAATTGCTATTGTAGACTTAATAAAACTTTATATACAAACATCAGTAGATTCCCAGACTAAGATGATCTTATAAATCATAAAGTAAAAACCAAATCCCTCTTACGTGAATATCAAATGGTACAGCAGAGTTTTTAAAAAATCGTTTCTTACTCTAAAGACTTTGTTTACTCATAATTTTTTTTTTGTTTTTATGTGATATCATTTAGTACAACGTCAAGCTATCTGATGAAATGGTTCGGTAATTTTTTAAACGATCTATTGGCTCATTGCAAAATTATTAAGAAAATGTCTCTTAAAATAAACATTCAGTCATAACGACTTGAAATATTCTACCAATGCATAAATAATGAAAAAGCTATTTGAAGTATTTTGTGGGCTATTTTAAGTTCTTTTAAAGACTATCGCGCGATAAGGTCAGAAGACGACGGCACGAATCCCGGCAATTGTCAAAAACTTCCGCTTGTGATTGAGTGACACTCCAATTCAGAACACTTCATGACAGTCCTGATTCTATTCCCAAAGATCATTCAGTAGTCAGTTCGTCAGTGAGCTAAGGCCATCAGCAAAATCATGATATGATCCTTTTGTCCTCCATCAGATGGATCTTACGACACTTGACTGGACTCACAGAGTAGTGTTGTAATGAAATGGAAAATGCAGAAGTGTTAAAAAATTACAAATATTTTATTCGATTGGTTCTTAGTGTTATATGAAATCAATATTCTCAAATAAATTAAGAAAAGTGAGACATTCATGCTGTTAAGACTGGATGCCCCCTCCAAGGAACATTCTATGTCTGTAGAAGAAGAAAAGTTTATCTTTTTTTAACTATAATATGATCATACTTCAATGTCCTGAAGCTCTATTTTAGTGATCTATTTTTTTTCTCATCCTCCGAAAACCACTCTCGGCTCTTAAGGGTTAAGTGATTAATAATATAGATAATGACTTTTGTCTGTATATTATTTTTATTGATTTAACTGAAAAAAACATTTTTGCTTTGTTCTGTCAAAGCATGAAAAATAACTCCATATAAGCAAATTTTTGTGTGATTTTCCTTAAGACATTAATACATGTCATATATGTGTAAGTAAAGAGAGACAGAATATCCTGACCTTCTAACGTTTTTATTAAGATGGCTGAACAAATTCATTTATATATTATTATTGTACATATAAGTAAAGCAACAGCACAAGCCTTATACAAACAATTCTTGTTCTTCTCATTTTCAATGAACCACATCTATAATGTCTCGAAAGACAAAAAAGAAAATTAATAATCCAACATAATGGAAACATATATGAACAAAACATTATCGACAGTTACAATATTTTGAATTCACATTAATGTAGATTGACACAGTCTCTATTAAAGGAAAAACCGAAGTAAATATTTTTTTTCTCAACAAGTAGTGTGAGAAAAGTTCATTCAATGAAAGTATTAACAATTGTGTAGTCAAAACAAACATATCGGATATTGTCATGATTAAAATGTATCTACTACTATCGGCGCCAGAATTCAAGGCAGTCGGTTGCTTTTCGAATAACTCTTGATAGGAACAAGATAGAGACCTGCGGTTTTCAACATTTGATAGCCAAGACCCAAGAGCATATTTTTATAAGCAAAACCTTTTCTGAGAAAAAGTCCGAAGTTTGGTTTTCAAGAGGATCTTTGAAAAACCACGCTGGCGTTTTGAAAATTGTCATAGAAGTCTATTGATTTTTTTATATATTCGGAATCAGCATGAAAAACTGCGTTGACTCATATATTTTTCTAGTCTTTTAACAAAGTTTTTTTTTCGCCGAAAAATTCGTCCTTCGTCATCTTTTCACTGAATTCATTTATTGATGTGGTCCTGAGGATGACTAGAGGTAAATTTTCGACGAAAAAAAAATTCGTTAACAGACTAGAAAAATACATGAGTCGACACAGTTTTTCATGCTGATTCCGAATATGTAAAAATATCAATAGACTTCTATGACAATTTTCAAAACGCCAGCGTGGTTTTTCAAAGATCCTCTGAAAAACCAAACTTCGGACTTTTTTTCAGAAAAGTTTTTGCTTATAAAAATATGCTCTTGGGTCTTGGCTATCAAACGGTGACAACCGCAGGTCTCTATCTTGTTCCTATCAAGAGTTATTCAAAAAGCAACCGACTGCCTTGAATTCTGGCGCCGATAGTAGTTTCAAACAATATAATGGATATTCAATTGACTATCTTAAAAAACTACCTGAATTCCATTTTTGATCCATCTAATGTATGTCGAAAATGTTATTAAAAAACTAAACAAAAACATTTTTCTTTAAATAAAGAATGTTCACAAACTAATTCTATATATAATAAAAACAGAATTTTAATAATATATGATAGATTTCATTTGATCACTATTCATAACTTATAAAGATTTATCCACCGATTCGTTCTTAATTGTCAATCATCTTCTTCGAACGAACAACCTTGTCGAGAATTACAGTTAACGAATGAAAGCACAACTTTCTACGCATTCTCATATATATATATATATCAATTTATTAAAATACTACGGAATGAATATGAGCATCAATATCATGTTGCTGAAGAAAGTTAAATTTATTTACGATGACGCAAGAGGATTTATGATGAAACTGATATTAAACTTGCCTTATTCTATGATGAACACAAAAAACAACAAACTGAACGATGTTCAATTAGCAATAAAATTCGATCGAACTGTGAAGACACGATTATTAAAGAAAAATAATAGTAGATTTTAATGCTGTCTAATTCTTAATTCTGCTGTTTAATTACCAACAAATAAATCGTTATGATGCCAAAACATTGTTTTTTTAACTAGACTTCTTCGTTGATAATAATTTAGGGACGAGTTAACAATTAATTAAGAACGACCCATTTATGCAAGGAACAAACTAGGAGGATCTCAATATAAACATCATTTGTTGTTGATACACATGAGTTGCATATACATATACTTACAATTCATTAATTATACAATGCTCAATTTATGAAACTATTCAAATGTGTCAATCAAGTATATGTTATATGTTCATCAAAAATAAATAAAATTATATGAAATAGAAAAATAATGAATAACAAATATTATGTAAAATAGTATTCAAACAGATCTCATTGTTTTGTTATTTATTCGTACACGTATCAATCTATGTACTTATATTCATGCATGTTATATCTCTGTCTAATATCAAAACAAAGAATAACAAAATAAAGGTTACAAGAAAAAAAGACATTTGAATGGTAGTAATAAATATTTCATCGACAACTTCATTATCATCATCATCAATACTAGACCTTTTGATCATGTTGAAGTTATGCTAATGATAGTAATAAAGATGAAACAATCAAATGGAATGTTTTTTTTTTGTTTTTATTTATTCCATTAAAAAAACTTTATATCTTGTTCTTCGTTTCTTTTTCTAATACTTCGTTTTCTTTTGCCATCATCACTACCACCAAAATATATACATATTATTATTCGAGCAAAACAAAGATACATGTGTAGATGAAAAGAAAGGTATTTATTTTATTCTTTATTTTTTTAAAAAGAGAAAAGACAAGAGCCACATATAGCCGATAGCTATTTGAATTTCATTTATTCTACAGTAAAAAATAAATATCGAAGATATTTTATAGGGCAATATGGGTTTTCTTCCTTCTAAGGTAACTATTTTTCGTTAAAATATTTCAAAAAAATATGAAGAGAAAAAATGAAGAAGAAAATTCAAATAGCAAGTTGTCGACATGACAGAATAATTTATAGTGAATATCACTCACATGAAGGAAAAATGATAGAAGAAGATTATTAGAGTGTGTTTGTTCACCATTTCTTAGTTTGCTTTTCGGATAAAATGATTCACGATACTATATGTTTGTAATAATGAATAGTGAATTATGAATGTAGATAGATAATGAACTAGATTTTCTATGATCTATATGATTCATCATTCGTTTTTTGAACTCGATATTTATTTCAAAGTCGAGTTTTAGGGTCAACCACAATGGGGAGATAAAAAAGAGAAGATAAGAACTTCCTAACTTTAAAAGTATCACTTTTATCGCTAATCAATAAATTCAACAACTGAGCGTAATGTCCAACTTTAAAAAGTCACCATTTTTAATATTCCGTCTACATATATGGTCCTACTACTAAGAATATGATACTGTAGGCAACAAATTGTCATAAAACTCTATATATCGTCACAGAAACTATAAATGTAGACAATTTTCAAAAAACTGTTGACATGTCTAAAGTTGTCATGGCATGGGCTCTATAGTGAAAAAATCATGATTTTTGGTTTCTTGGTGATGTTCTTCGCATTTTTGGTCGAAACATCACCATTTTTGATTACCTAACTCTACATTTATAGTGTTCACTGTTAAATACACAGTAGTATGATTATTTGTTGCTGAAGTTCGTCTAATTTTATCCTTAGAGGGTAAATATAGAATTTTAAAGTCATAAATGTAAAAGAGAGATAAAAAATGGTGAGTTTTTTTTCTAGTTGGACATTCCTCATAAAAAAAGGGTTGTAATGAAACAAAACTTGATTTTCTTGTTGTTAACAAATATTTTTTACTTAAATTATTTGAAAATCATTTAACTTCGAATACAAATGATGAAGTACTTTTATCAACAATTTTAACTTAAAAAAAAAGGATTATCTAGTCTAACAGTTGCACGAACACTTGAACAATTGCATCATAAATATAATTATGAGCAGTCAGAACAATCTTAACAACAAGAAACACTATCAAAAACAACAGCAGATGAACAAAATGATAATCTTTCAGCAGAATTATATACTAATCCACATATAACAAAACAAGAAAAATAATATGAAAAATTTCTAAAAAGTATTGATTCAACTACAATTCATCAAATCATATCGATTGTTACAAGTAAAAAAATCAGTTGCTTATCCATCAACTCATTCTGATTTATATATGGCCGAACACCAAATTGTAAACAATTTAGTAGTATACCAAACGATGCTTTTAATTCTTTACAAATTTGCATTACTAATCCATCATCAACACAACAGACATGTCGCATTCTATCTTATATTCCAAGTATCAATCTTTCTGATTATAATGAACAATGTACATCTCAATTACCATCATCTGTTGGACAGTATCAGAATTCACTTAAAGTATTATTAAGTGTGACTTTATCAGTGAGAAGTAATCGTACTATTATTAATACTACTTCACCATCATTACAACACAATGAAAATATTCTAAATGCTATATCTATTACAACTGTTCAACCATCGCTTACGCGATATATTTGAGAATAAGGTTTGTCTTTTGTTTATTTTCGTTTTAAATACTATTTCTATATTATTATGTATAGAATGACAATTCTTTTTTCAGTTTTTTATCTTTTTGATAAAGAGACAAAGTACAATTCTAATGATATCTATTTACTAAAACTAAATACAGTCTAACGCTTACTAATTGCATGAATTTTACTATCACTTACTAACTCAGCAGTATCCAAGTGATGTTCACTTGAGCAGAGAAAATCTGTTGTCATACTAATTTGATGTTTCAAAAAACGCTTTTTTGTTTTCATTTGATGATTAGATCTACTAATTGAATTCATTTCTAAGAAATTTATACAAGTAGAACTAATAAGAAAAATAAATATCAATGATTTTTTGTTGAAGTTTATGTTGGAAAATAATCGAAAGGTATCAATAGAGAATATTATTAGCAAAACAGTTATTCACTATTTTACTTAGAGAAAATGACAATCTTGATTTTATACAATTTATACTTTCAGATAATTCTTCAATATCTCAATCCAATCTCCATTTAAGTAAGTTTTGTTTATGATAATTTTATTATCATTTTATTAGAATAAATAATCTTTAAATTAAAAGAAATTGACATACGTCTATGAATTGCATACAAGAAATGAATGTCTCGAATGAAAAAAAAGTATTTCTGACTACACTCTACTGATGTTAATAATGATTACTTATTTCTAGTATCAAAAAGATCTCGTAAAGAATAACCAACTGATTCATTTTTTACTAAAATTTTACGTAATATCATTAATGAATATGCAAATGATAGAACAAGATAAACCATTTTTCGGTTCGATAAAGATATCTATATTAGATACTTTAAAATTGAAGAATATGTCCATTGATATAGAAAATAAGCCAAACCTTAGTCTAGAACATAACGAGACAAAACAATCCGTCAGTTCGACAAGTTCTGATTTTGATAAAAAACAAAGACAGTAATTCTATTCATTAATACATCATACTGAACATCTAGAAGATTCTAATGCTTATACGCAAACAGAAAATTAATCTATCTCTAGTATATTTTAAATATCTGACGATACTTTAATAACTGATACACATAAATCAGATGCATAGTAACAACATATCGAAAATGAGCCAACTCATCTGTCATCAGCAGAAATCAGACTTGACAACCCATATATACATAGATCATCTATATATGATTTATATAATAACAAATAAGCGCTGTCTATTTTAATAATTTAATTTTTTTTTGCTTATTTTCACTTCGGAATTCAAAGGTTTAACTTCTTTTTTCTTGTTTTTATGTTTAGCTACGATACCAATATCAGTATTACTCGATCATGGTTATGAATTACATAATATAAAATTAATACAACCAAGTCAAAAGATTTCAATTAATTTTAAATTAACTAAATAAACAGATCCATTATAATATATTATAACAGTTATAGTTGAATAATCAAAAGCTGATATAGCTAGTCTTAAAGTTGAAGATAATGATATACGTTTAACTGATTTGTATGAAGTTTCACAAGATATTCGTCGGTTATTAAATAGTATAGGTTTTGATTAATATGTCTATTACTCGAAAGAAATCAGCAACATCATCATTACCGACCATTGATAATCAACAAACATCTGTATTAACAACAAATAATATATCTGATAATACAAATGTTATATTATCAAATAATTTATCAAATCTAACTGAATGTAACAATCAAAACCAGTCAAAACATGAAGAAAATGTCAATTTTCAATTCGATGATATTAATAAAGATAAAATTCGTCGTATCGTATTAAAAGAAGCAATAGGATTAGATTTTAATTCATTTTTACCTGGCAATGATGAAACTCAAATACATTTTATAAGTAATGTTCAACCTTTATCAATAGCTGATGAAGCTGGTTTACGTGATGGTGATCGTATTTTAACTGTTAATGGTTTAGATGTAACAAATACAAAACATGAAGATATTCGATGTATCATGTTAAATAAAACATCAGTACAATTAACAGTTATTCATGATCCAAAATATTTAAAATTAATTGACATCATTAAATATAATCAAAATAAAATGACTTCATCATCAAATAATGTTCTATTTATTGATGATCAAGGTCCAGTTTATATAAAACATTGTATTATAAAAAAAGAATCTACTAATAATACATTAGGTTTTTCGTTACAATATAAAAATAATTTTCATACAATTGATTCTATTGAAATTAATTCTTCAGCTTATAATAGTGGTTTACGTAATGATGATGTGATTTTATTTGTTAATAAAAAGAATGTTGAACAAATGAAACATGATAATATTAAATTACTTATTCAAACATTAGTAAGTTCAAATGAAATTATTGATTTAATACTAATTAATAAAAATGATATAAAAAGATATAAAAATTATCAAGAAAAAAATCGTATTGATTGGAAAACTATTCTATCAAATAATAATGAAGATGATAAAAATAAAAAACAAAGTATGTTTACATAACAATGCATATTTAATCTTTCTTTGAATCTCATTCTATGTTTGTTCGTATCTTTTACACTATGCTAGAGTCAATATCGCCATATTTAACTTATAGGAACTGATATATTTATTCATTTTATTAAACATTCATTCTCCATATGACTTGTTTTTTTTTTAAGCTGAACAACAATCTTCTTGTGTTAATCATCATCTATCAAATATTCCATGTGAAACACCAACAAGTTCACTGCTCGCTGGTAGTCGCATTTGTCTTTTAGAAACATCGGAAAATGGTACAGCTGGTTTTGCAATTAATAATATTGGTCCACCACCATTTATCATTTGTAAAATCGCAAAAAATTCACCTGCAGAAAAAGCTGGTTTACAAGTTAATGATATACTTTTATTCATTAATGGAAAATCAGTTATTGAAACAAGTTATAAAGATACTGCTCAAATAATTACAGAAGCACTTCAACAGAAAACCGTTCAATTTGTTGTTAATCAACAATCATTATTAAAAGAAAATGAAACAAAAAAGAAAAGTCAATCATCAGCCAGTGATGGTAGTGGACATAACAATGTTCGAAATAATGGTGTAGAAGAACGAACACATACTGCTGTAAATATTGTAGAAGAGTATCAAAGTATGTAAAGAGAAAAAACAAATAAAAATCTTCTCATTTACAATAAAACTAGCTTTATTGTGTGTCATATTTTAATTACTTAGCTTTTTGTGATTTACACTTTGATCATCAGTTAGTGATACAAACAAGCGTCTTTGTATAGAAATAGTTTTTCTTTATATTTATTCTTTTTCTTATCTTTCTATTCTATTGTATCAATATTGGTCTGTTTTAAATCATTCTTCTTTCTTTGTTTCGTATTGTGAACTATTCTTCAAGCTAATACTTTAGTGAATGAATGAAGGATTAGTCAACTTATGTTATCTTTTACATATTGTCTAAGCTGAAATGAAAATCATTTCTTCTTTCATACGTTATTTAAAATCGAGGTAAATTTCTTTTCGATTAAAAAACAAAAAACGAATATGGAACATATCCGAGGCGAGTTTTATTTAATTTATTATTTTTATCGTTTGCTTCTATATTAAATAAGTTATATATTTCTAGGAAAACGATGTAAAGAATTATCCTATACATTACGACTTTGTCATTTAAATGCAACAAATACTGACGATACACCAGCAACAACATTTGGTTTTGAAATAACTGAAGATCCTCAATATGAATATCCAATAATATCACATGTTGAACCAAAATTACCAGGTGAACGTGCAGGTTTACAAACACGAGATATATTATTAAAAATAAATGATCGAAAAACAAAAGGTTTAAATTTTGATAAAGTTAAAAAAGCAATTGAAAAAGCTAAATATGACGGTCGATTAGAAATTCTTGTTGTTGACAAAGAAGTATTTAATTATTGTAAATTAACACATAAAAAATTTAAAGAACCTGATATTAAAGTGAAACATATTTTTCCAAAAAGTAAACCATCTACAAGTTTTCTAAAATTACCTACAATAGCTGCAACATCTTCACTTATGTCACAAGATAGTACAGAACGTTTACATCATGGTATTTCTTCATTTAATGTTCATCGTCTTGCTACACAAAAAGAAATATCATTCGAGAATGAAGAAGATGATGCAATCTTACCTAATATTCGTTCAACAATTAATTCTGATATTCCATTATCAAATAATTCATCTGATACTATCATACGTACTTCTTTTATTCACGAAACACCATTTACATCTATTGGTCCTACATTAAATTCATTACAACAATCGAATATTTCTTTAACAGATCAAAATGTATCTAGTAGAAAACAACGAAAACAAAGTCAAACATCATCTGATCAATCAATAAAAGATTTTATATCACACACAATCAATACTATTTTTCAACGTATTGGATCTCAAAAATCAACTAAACGTTTGTGATCAGCTTCTTTTTTTTATTTGCATGTAGCTATGTCGACAATTCTCTAAAAAATACTTTTTTTCCCCATTCTTTGCACTATTGTGGTTGTTTAACAAAATTTAGTGTCGTTCCTTTACTTTTCTCTTATATTGTATACAGTATAAATGCATGCTAGTGCTAGTACTTTATATTACTAAGCCTACTGTAGATAAAGATATATTTTCACATACGTTTAGAAATAGCACAAATACAGTAGATTATCTCACTATTTAAGATTAGATTACTTTGCTTGCTCGATTTCACTTATTTATAATAAAACTTAATTTGTTACTATCAATATTTTTTTTAAAGTTTATGTCTCAACAATGAGACAATTGAACAAAAAAAAACATTAGTAATAAACACAATTCAAACTAAGATATATAGAATATAAATTAACAGTTTATTTGTGTTATTTATTTTTTTCTTTACAGCTGATTATGATATTCCTCTTGAACGAACAAATAATTCAAAAATACAAACACCATTACTATCAACTAGTCGTCATAATGGAAATCTTTCTGAACAAGTTCGACATATT